AAAAGCAAAACGGTAGACTCGGGAAACCCGACCTGCAGCCTCAAGACAATATCCTCAAACACATCTGATGTTTTAGGGTTTGGTTTCTGGTTTAGACCCCAGACCCTAAACCCAAATGTCCCCATGCATTCCTACTCCCCAAGCCCAAGCCAGACGCACCCTACACCCTATACACCCTCTAGACCCTAAACCCTCAACCCTAATCCCTAAACCCTCAACCCTAAACCCGAAACTCTCAGCCCTAAACCCTAAACCCTCAACCCTCAACCCTAAACCCGAAACTCTCAGCCCTAAACCCTAAACCCTAAGCCCTAAGCCCTAAGCCTTAAGCACCCAAAACCCTAAGGTAGCTAACCCCTAACCCCTAACCTTTAAAGCCACCAGGCTTGAAAGGAGAAGGACTCCGAAGCAACAAAAGCAAAACGGTAGACCTGGGAACCCCGACCTGTAGCCTCAACAAAAACTATCCTTAAACACATCTTAGGGCTTAGGGTTTAGGGTTTCGGGTTTAGGGTTCAGGGTTTAGGGTTTTGAGGCTTCTGGTTTAGAACCTACACCCTAAACCCAATTTTCCCCATGCAGTCCGACTCCGCAAGCCCAAGCCACACACCTCAAGCAGCCGAGACATCCTGTACACTTCGGTACACCCTATACACTCTCTACACCCTGAACCCTCAACTCTACTCAATAAACACTAAGCCTGAAACTCTCAGCCCTAAACCCTAACCCTAAACCCTAAACCCTAAGCCCTAAACCCTAAACCCTAAACCCGAGACACCCCAAAACCCTAAGGTAGATGCTTAGCAAAGGTTGGGTTTCCCTCGCATTGGCGGGCGCGTTCGTCTCGGCCTAGAGGCTGCCATAGGGGGTTTAGGGTTTAGGGTTTAGGGTTTAGGGTTTAGGGTTTAGGGTTTGGCAATTCTGGAATCTCTGCTCTCGATTCGTTTAGGGTTTAGGGTTTAGTGGTCCCAAGTCCCAAACACCTAAGACCCCAAAGGCCCCCAAACCCCAAAAAAGTCCAATGGTTTCTGTTTGGGGTTTAGGGTTTAGGGTTTGGGGTTTGTTGTTTAGGTTTGATGGTTTAGGACACTACTTGCAGGTTCATGGTAGTTGTAGATAGGGTTATCAGTACGAGAACTAGACTTGAAACCCTACTTTTTGTACCCTACTTGTAACCCTAAACTAAACCCTAAATCCTAAAGCATAAATGTAACCCTAAACTAAACCCTAAATCCTAAAGCATAAAGCCTAAACCCTAAACCCTAAACCCTAAACCCTAAACCCTAAACCCTAAACCCTAAACCCTAAACCCTAAACCCTAAACCCTAAACCCTAAACCCTAAACCCTAAACCCCAAACCCCAAACCCCAGACCTTACTTCACCCTTGCGCCAGGGCTACTTGGGCCCCAAGGAGAGCAACCCGAAGCCCTAAAAGCCTAAAGCCCTCCTAACCCCTGCAGGGTTTAGGGTTTAGGGTTTAGGGTTTAGGGTTTGGGGTTTAGGGTTTAGGGTTTAGGGCTTAGGGTGAAACCCTCAAGCCCATAAACCCCAGGAGCCACACAAGCCCCACAAGCCCCACAAGCCCCACTAGCCCACCTACACCCCAAACCTTAAACTCTGAACCCCAAAACAGCCCCATAAAGCCCATAATATAGGGTCGGAAGAAGTACTAATAATATCCCCTGGTGGTCCCTGTCTATTTACCCAAAACCCTATTCTAACTCTTAAGGCCCCTATGTTAGACCCCAAATCCCCGAGCCGCTGTTGATCCATTAAGTGACGATCATGGAGGCTCCCAGGTCCCCATACTCAAACAACCCTAAAACCCCCTCGAAAGCTCGAAAGCTCAAAGCGGAGAACGAAGCTCTTTGAAAATAGAAGCCCTAAAGTCCCCCTCAAAGCTGCCCCTTAAAAGCAATCCCCTAGTCGGCCCAACTTGAAGGTTCATTTGGGTGGTTGGAAGTTCTAATTGTAATTTGGTGTTTGGAAGTAGGCTTTAGGGTTTAAGGTTTAGGGTTGAGAATTGACATTTGGGGTTAGGGAGTACAGTCTGGGCACTTATAACTTACAACCCCATTTCGGGCACCTTTAACACTGCTTCATTTCTACCGTTTACGACAATAGGGGACCCGCAAGATAGATCCCTAAATATTGTAGGATCCTCTTAGAATAAGGACCCCACTAAGGTACCCCTAATTTCGAAAAGCCCCCATGAACCTGCACATTGTCAACCAAGCCCTAAGCCCTAAGCCCTAAGCCCTAAGCCCTGAACCCTAAACCCTAAACCTTCAACCCTAAACCCTAAACCCTAAACCCTAAACCCTAAACCCTAAACCCTAAACCCTAAACCCTAAACCCTAAACCCTAAACCCTAAACCCTAAACCCTAAACCAAGTCAAGCCCTGCCAGGACCCCGCGCTGAACGCCGAGGGAGCGGACAGTACGCAGCAGGTGCTCTCCATGGGTTACGAGCAGCGACTCCCAGGCATGGAGCTTGGT